GGTATCAGTGCCTGGTAGTTCTTCAAAGAAATGGTTTTTTCGGCCATTTTACCCACAGTTTTGGGTGCAGGATGTTTGGACCTTTTGCCCTTACTTTGGAGTGAACTTTCGGAAAGCAGGTGTGACGCACAACTAGCGAGTTCTTACCAACCGTACTCGTTCGTAGCTAGGCTTTTGACCTCTAACTCTGTAGGAATTCTGGCATAAAAGTTTTTTTTTGGAAAGCCGAAAGAAGCAGGGAAGGAAATGTGGGTATTTTACTGGAGAAAGTGAACGTAATACGATTAAAGGACCTCGGGTAACAAACAGTCTTGGTCTGTAAATAAATTTTGGTTGGTTGTGGAGGTGTAGAAGGACTCTAATTTTTAAAATCTGTTGACAACTCTTGGGGTTGAACGAATTACTACTTCCGTATTCTAAGCTGTCATGATTGGAACAGCAGTAGACATTCCGGCAGTAGTCAAGGTGAAAATTGCGTAAACTTTTGTTTCTATCAGTGAATCTTCTCAACAATGCTTAGCCTTTAGAGCACATTATCTATAAAGGACGGCTTGTGCTGTATTGCTACCCGCTTCGCATTTTTTTCTCGCGATTTCACCCGCCTCATTTTTGGTTTTTTGATTACAGTCAGTGAGTACAGCTTTGTTGTCAAAATGACTCCGTCTCTAGACATGAAAAATATCGGACCTTATGCAGACCGGTAATGTTATGACATCGATTGGCTGGGGGAAGTAGTGTCAACCGGAAGCTTTGCTCTATGGTACAGTATACGGATACCACGTACAGTATGTCTGACTCACTGATAACGGTGAGAGATACTTTCTTTCTCAGATGTACAACCAACGCAACCTGTCTAAAGAAGGTTGTGTACAAATTTGACGGAAACACAAAGTGCAATGAAGTTACAAAAATGTTCTCCCGAAATGGGGAAAAAATGAAATTGGCTGGGTTGCCTAACTGACTGAGCATCACACGGTTCTTTTGAATGTGGGCTAAGCAACTGAATTCTTTTCGTTCTAAAGAAAAAAGCTAGAAGGAGAAAGGCAAAAGGTTTTTCTAGAAAACAGTTACGAAACAGCTAAAGGATAAGGTGGAAGCAGGCAAAGAATATCTTCTTTTTAACATAACTGTGCGAAAAATGTTTGTATATGATTTAAAATTTCCCTCCAGCGGGGTAGCAGGTGCCACAGGTGAGTATGCTCTGAATTGCTGTGTCGCAGTCTTTGGTTCTGCTTTCAGTGGATTCGCAAGTTTTTGACTGTTAAGTTTTCATCTTCCGCCATTTATTCAAATGTGTTCTCGAAATTAAAAGAAGTCCTATGCTACTTTCAAGTTGGTGTCGTTCACCAATTAGCTGATAATTGTTGTGCGTTTTTTTATTGTGGTTAGATTGCTTTTCATTTAATTATTAAGCTCGTCTTCAGGAAATGACGTTTTTTGATAAAATTTGAAGGCGGGTCCTCATTTGATTTACTTGCTTTTTCTCTATCCTGTATGTCATTTTGACAACGGAATGCCTTTCATTGCTGACAGAAATAAAGACTAGCTTGTGGAGAAGGCATTTTCATTGTAGATTTTAGGTGCTGCCTGTTTTGTTCCCAAATGCCTATGTCTCAGGCTAATTTGGTTATTGTATGATCGTTATATACTTTTGCGATGCACCCCTTTTTCCAAAATAAGTTGTTGGAAGAGTGACATCCGGCCCCAGACTAACTGAGTGAATAGTACATGGTATTAAAAGGGAAGTATTTGCCGTATCAGGTCAGAACCAGGTGGATAATACAGTAATTTGGATAATCCTTTCATTACAAGCAATAGCAACACAAGACAGAATGAAATCAACAACAGTACAAGATCAAATGAGAATTAACACTGACTGCCATTTGCTCATGAAACCTTCCACCTTCGCATCTCCTGTTTTGGCTTCACGCAGTATTTGCTGTCTGGCGCCACCATAGTCCATGTGCGATGCGTGTTTATCGCTTTGTTGCTGAATCCCTTCGGTCGCTCAACGCTATTCTACTTGACCAGCTAGCACTGTAATTCACAAGCAGACCACTGTCAAAAGAAGGAGAGTACACTTATTTAGAGCTCTCAAAACCTTCAACAAGCTAGCAATTTCCAGCTTCAAGGCAGATTTCTGACACTACTCACATTAGATAAACTCTCTTTACCTGAGTTGCAAG